TAAGGAGGCCAGTAAGTGATGCGAAATGAATATTGTGTGTATGAGTAAACCCTAAATGAATGGGACAGAGAAGGCAAGGGAGGCTGTTTTCTCCAGGGGATGCTGGGTTTGTATGGGGCAGTGGAAGAGCACTTTGCACATGGTTTTTGAACACACAGCACTGAGTGTTTTATAAGCTGGAAAATGAGAGCTGTTCAGGGCACTTGTTATATGGAGGGCATCATTGATGGTGCCCAAAATCTCAGAGCGGTGCCATACTAGAAGCCCAGAGTCCCAGCTCCTCAGCCTTGGACAATGCTCCCTGCCAAAGCCCTGCGCCCTGCCTGGACAGGGACAGCAGTCAGTGGGCAGATGGCACTGGGGGAGCATCCCATCTGCAGAGACGTCGGGTCCTCGTTGGCTTCTTCCCAAGTCTTTCCCAGCGGCGTGGCCACCACCTTGCCTGACCTTGAGTTGCCATCTGGTGCCCCCATCCCATCGCTTGTCAGCCACAGGCACGTCTCCTGCACAGACGTGCACTGTCCTGAGGTGACCCCAAAGCAACTGAGGCTTCCACCAGTGAGCCGAGGGAAAGGCTCTACCGAGGGAGGTGGATACTGAGCTCCCCCCTCCATTACCAGTCCCCGCAATGGGGGTCGAAAGTGACTTCTCCCATGTCCAGCTTCTACAGCCGCAGGCTTTATCGGACTTAGGGGGGGACCCAGCAGCCCAGGTGGGGAGGAGAGGAGACAGCTCAGGGGACAAGAACATGCTGTCTAGCTGCAGGAAGCTTGGGGGAGGGTCAGAGCAGCCAGATAAGGAGGGTGCAAATGGGAATGGGGGAGCAGCAACCTGGGAGAGCTCAGTATCCCCTACACTCCCCCCACCTCCACAGCGGCCACAGCGGGGAGCTGCCCCAGGAGATGTCCTCCTCCAGGTGACGAGCCATCTGGTGCCTTAGTGCCCACCTGAGAAATGCCTCAACTTCATCCAGCTCTTTCATTTTTAAAGCAGATCCACAGGGTGGGGGGTCCATTGACAGCAGCAGAGCTGGCTCATGTTGCACCTGCTGAGAGGGGGCAGCCCACTAGATTTGGGGGAAAACACATGTTTTATGCCCCCACATCCCCTTCCTACCCTAATCCTCCAGCCACACTGTTCTATTCTCATGCACTGAGGCAGCTTAACCTTAACCCACATCCCTCCTACGCAGGCTTAAGAAGCTCAGTGCCCTGATGTAATTGGTGTTTGCAGCTGCAAACAGCTGGTCAGAGATTCAGACAGTTGTAAATAATACAATTCTAGGCTTGTTAGAATTTGAAAGGGTTTGGGCAAACAGCAGCCTGGGGTTTCCTAAAGCTGGGACTTGGGGGTAGCAGCAATGGGATGTGAAAACAGAGGTGTATTTTATTTGGGAGCTATATTTTATTTTGAGGAAGAGGGCATTCGTCCTGCCTGCCTGCAGTGGCCAGACCTGGAAATGGCACGGCCAAATTTTACCAACCTACTTGCTTTCTGTGGCAAAGTGTGTTGCCGAGGACTTGACGTGGGCAGTGTCTGCCTTAACCTCAGGGAGACCTTTGGCTGGTCTCCTGCATCATCCCAGCATCCTAGCTGGCACATGGCAGTGCAGATGGGCGGCCTCCAAGAGCAGTGCAAGCTGGATGGTGTGAAGAGGGGCAGTGAGCAGGCTTGTGCTCTGCCCAGGAGCCAGTTGCAAGAGGAGTTACTGCAGGGACTGGGGTGGGGGAAAGGAGGGCCATGGGTACGTAGCAAAATGGGTTGAAGAGTTGCATAAACTCTGACAGATAAGCAAGGGTGGCATCATCTAGAGGGGAAACAGCTAAGTGGGACCAAGGATGTCCATGTGGCTTGGCCTAATGTGGGCAGGCTTTCTCTGAAACAAAAAATAAGGGCATCAGGAACTGGAAACTCCAGGAGTCACCAAGTGTAAAGCCACATGTTGAAGTCACTGTCCTGCAACATCACTGAAGCCCCAGGGCAGGGAGAGCCATGGGTTCACAACAGGTCAGGCACGTCCTTGGGTAGCAAGACCATCCAGGGCTACCAGGCTACAGATACTCTGTGTGTGTGCAGGCTCCCAGAAGGTCCTGCACAGTGTCAGCCAGTCCCAGTAGGTTTAGGATGGAGATTCCCTGGGGATTGGCCATCCTGGAGCAGCCTCCAGTCGGGCTTTGTGCATCTACTCAAGATTTCTGCGAAACGAGTCCTGGAGGCTCAAACTGCGTACCCAGAGTGACCAAACAGCTGAAAACAGCCTTGGCTCTCTCTGTGTTTCTCCACCTCTGCACAGGGAATGGGGACAGTTTCCTTTATGAACCTCTTGCACACTGCACTGCAAAGATATGTTAAAATAGATAGCATTAAACAAATGTTATTATATTGGTTGGAGCAACATGAAGAGATTTGGCACCACTTGCCAAAGCTGTGAGAATTTAATTCACTTGATGCCTATAAAAGTCCCGTCCTTTGGTTATATTTTTCCAGTGGTTTTAGGAACACTGTGTCTGCCAGGTATTGTTTTTAAAATAATAAGACAGAAACCTCTGGCCCTTTTAATCCGTAAGGGTGAAAGGGAAAATACAACAAGCCAAACTCGGACAAAGTCTAACTTATTTTTTCGATTGAATTTAGCAGGAAGATCATTTCCAGCCTCAGTGGTAGGTTAATAGAGTCACAGGGGTTAGAGACAGACAAGTTTGATTGTGCCATCACATCCTCCCCCTGCTCCACGTATAGAATCAGCCTTGCCAGGTATCTCCAAAGCTCTGTTGGGTCTGGCCTTAAATGAGGAAAGGAATCGAGTGTCCGGTCCTTTGTGCTCTCAGAATTAAAAGTCAGAGGTCTGCACATCACAGCTTGTCTGTTAGAGCTCATCGATTGCAATCGGTGTTAAAACCCTCCATGTCTCCCCAGGTTGGGCTGCCAGCACCATCTGGGTGTGTCTCCTCTGCTGTCTCTTTACCTCCATGCTGGACTGAAGTTTCGGCTGATGCTTGTCTGTGTGGGTAGAAGTACCCTGGGGCAAAATGGGACTATGGGCAGGAGCAGGGCCCACTGGGTATCCCAAGGGGCTGGTAGCTGAGAAGGGTATCTGTCCCCAGAGGAGGCAAATGGGGCTCCCCTGTCAAGGGGGTGAGATAGGTGTAATGAAGTTATCCCCCCTAAAAGGTTTAAGAGGGAGATAGGAACAACCAGAGATTTCATGTCCTGGTGGGAAGCTCTGTGCAGAAGAATACATGGAAGAAGCAGGACTTGGGATTTTTGGAAGTCTTGGGTGCAACCCCAAAAAGCATGCCGGGAAATGTGGCTTTTTCCCAAGCTCAGCCTGCCTAGTGAGGGGCGTAGGAAAGACTGACCGTGTGGTTTAGGGCTCGTCAAAGCTGGAGTACCACACGCTGCTGGCATCAGTGCCTCAAGCAGGTTGGGCTGCAGGCAAGCAGAGCCTGCCAGGACTTGGGGACCAGGGTGACCGGGTCCACAAGAGATGCACTCCGCTGTCCCCACTTCAGACCAATCTGCTCAGACGAAGTTTGTGAGCCCAGAGAGCCAAAACCCCAAAGCCAGTCTGTGCTTTAGCTGTGCCCATTGCCAGTGCAGGTGCTGGGGACTACCGGGGGGACACCGTGGCCATGCAGTAGCTGTGCATCACCCCAGTGCCAGGCTTGGTGACCACCTGGATTTGTGGACACCCTGGCATTGCCGGCAGCTGGGAGTACCTGTGGGCGCTGCTGGAAGGGTCTGGGGAAGAACAGCACCTCAACACGCATCATAAAATACCTTCCAGAGCTCTGAGCTGACTGTTCCCAGGTAAAACACACACACCATGTATGCAGCACACAGTAGCGATCCCAAAGCATCCCCTCTGTTTCTGGAAGATGAAAATCAAACTGATGTCTTTGGACAGCTGTAATTTTTGCTGCAGAAATGTGAGCAGGTATCCTGATAGGCAGCCAGAGTAGCTTTAATTTCACACCATTTCCAGCCCTGTCCCTTGGTCCTGTTAGTCTTCAGAGATGAAGCCTGTTCTCAGGGACAACCCATGAAATAGCCCGGGCAAGAAACTTGGAGGATCACGCCTTGCAGCTATGGGAAAGGGGTTGGAATGGCTTCCAGCTGATGTGGCTGTTGGCTTAGCGATTCCCAAGCTAACAGTGACACCTCCTGGTTGCACAAAATTCAGCTCAGAGACTGGAGTGCAAACGTGCAGGCAGGCAGCAGAGTGCAGATATCAGATAGGCACACGTGGGCTGCTTCACCACTTCAATCTCTTCGTTTGCATCCAGAAAACTCAAGTCCTCTTCCAGCTGCAAGTGCGGATCTGCGGGGATGAGGCTGTCCCTGTGCGTGCTGAGAGCTGGCCTGTGCTGGGAGGTGCTCAGCAGGGCAAAGTCCAGAACAGTGCGCATGAACAAAGGCAGAGTGCAGATACCAGATAGGCACACGTGGGCTGCTTCACCACTTCAATCTCTTCGTTTGCATCCAGAAAACTCAAGTCCTCTTCCAGCTGCAAGTGCGGATCTGCGGGGATGAGGCTGTCCCTGTGCGTGCTGAGAGCTGGCCTGTGCTGGGAGGTGCTCAGCAGGGCAAAGTCCAGAACAGTGCGCATGAACAAAGGTGCTGAATGCCAGCTACTTTAAAATGAGCAGTAAAATGAACTGTGATTAAGTATAGAGAGGCAAAAGCTTTGGTATAATAGCATTAAAGCTTTTTCTTATATATAAAATCTATTTAAATCTTGCTTTCTCCCCCAAAAGCAACCAGCTTCCACCCAGAGTGTCAGCCTGATAAATAGGTTTCCAGCAAGAGTTTTGCACTGTCTATGACAGTCGCCTCCCCAAGACACAGGGGCTCTCGGGGGATGGGATCCCCCCAGCTGAGGAGCTGGTTCCCTCACTCCAGCCTTGCTGGGAGATTTATTCCCCAGCCCTTTTTGTAAGACTCCGGCAATTCCCTTGCATGCCTTTCTGACTACCCATCTGTTCATTCAGGTGTTCAAGATGTCATTGAAGGTGCAGACGAGTAACATCACGAACAAGAATGACCCCAAGTCCATCAACTCCAGAGTCTTCATTGGCAATCTCAACACAGCCGTGGTCAAGAAGTCGGATGTGGAGACCATCTTCTCCAAGTACGGCCGAGTGGTGGGCTGCTCCGTGCACAAGGGCTACGCCTTCGTACAGTACTCCAATGAGAGGCACGCGCGTGCTGCTGTCCTGGGTGAGAATGGGCGCGTGCTTGCTGGCCAGACGCTGGGTAAGTAGTTTCTTCAGCCATTTCGGGTGTCCAGGTGCAACTTGGGTTGGTTGCTCCCTAGGGGATGGTCAAGGATGGCCAGTCCAAGGTCAAACTGGGACATCAATCTGCAGATCAGGGCCAGGTCCAACGATGGTAAGCTGGTCAGACACAACCAGTGATGACCGAGGAGGTCCTGACAGGGCAGGTCTGGGGCCAGGCTGGCAAGTCAGCCAATGGGTGAGGATCAGCAAGGTCCATGGCGAGGCACCGGCATGGCTGTGACAGAGCTGGAGAGCAGCACGCCTACAACTCTGCTCAGGTAGGGGCTGAAGGCTCCCAGGTCCCATGTGGGTAGGGATCAGAAGTGAGGCTGGTCATGGCCATTCAGGCATATTAGTACCCTCAAGGCTGTGACACTGTGGCCCAAAAACTCATCTTACAGGCTGTGATTGTAGAAGTTAAAACACAGTTGTGAATAACCCTATGTCCTAGTCCATGATCTGGTGGGGAAGAACAAGGGTGGGAAAAGACACTTCCTGTTTCCCTTTCTAGACCAGGCCTTACCCTTTGCCTGTCAAGAGGAGTGATAATCTAACTCAGACTAGTTCAGACTGACTTTAGGCAGCTGATGTTTAATGAGATAACTTCCCCCCTAGCCACATGGAAGTTTCTTGTGTGCACTGCTGTGTGATAAGAAATAACAAACAAAACCACCCAGCTGCTCCTAGCTGCATCCTTATTTTGCAGATTGTTCTGAAGTGTCACATGCTGAGAAGCTCTTGTCACCAGCTCTAAGCTGAGAATTGGAACTGGAGACAGTATTTTTAATGAAAAATTGTTATTTCCAACCCTGCTGTAGGCAGTGGTCATTGGGCACCCAGGAAAGCGATTTGCAACCCATTCCCACCCTGCTTCTGGCACAGCAGTCTGAAATAAAAAGTTGCATGCTAGATCTGATTTTTAAGATAGTGTGCTGTTTCCATCTGTGGTTTATTCAGATACCAGAAGCTTCTTTTCAGTTCTCTTACGGTCCAGAGAGCGGAGCTGCAGACCGAGGCAGAACACAGTGTGCCAGGGCTGCTTCCAGCCCAGGCATTGCCCACATGTGCAGAGCCCGTAGACGTGACAAAGAGGGCCTTGGGGAGCAAAGGAGCTCATGATGCTCCAGACAGATACAGGAAACGCAGTTAAGAGACAGGCAACACTTGCCCACATAACTGAAGAGACAGATTAAAGGTTTACCGTCATAGGAACCTCTTACTCTCCTCAGTGCTGGTCCCAGAGGTCTGGCATGCCAGCAAGACAAAAGGACTGTATTATAGCTGGGGGTCCTGTACAGGTACTGGACAAGGCGCAAATTCAGCTCCCTTCTATCTGCCTTCCCTTCTTGGGCCAGTCTTATTTCCTTTGCTGTTCATGGACCAGTATAAACACAGGGATGCTCCCCTTTCCAGAGAATCCAGCGGTGAAGAAGAGCTGAACAATGTGGTTAGAAAATGTCTTTGCACAAAACAAGGTAGAAAGTTCCCCCCCTAAAAAAGAGGAGGTGATATCCATGTAGGAATGTGGAGAGGAAAGACAGGATGGGACAGGCAGGGGACATGGCAGAGACGTTGCTGATGAGGCTGTCCCTGCTTCTGTTCATGGGCAGGGTTTTGGGAGGGTCCTCTGAGGTGATGATAAAACTTCCCTCCCAGGTGGGCAGCAGGAAGGTAGGCTGCTTTCTGCCCTGACAGTAACTTAGCAGAGGAGCCATGTGATCCTGTGGAAGAGCTGCAAACCTTGACTGTTGGGCAAATGGCTGTGTTGCTGTGGCAGGAGCTCGTGGCACAGTGGGGTGGCGAGGCTCAAGGCCGTGTCTGATGTAGGGGCAGAGTACCCTCAGCCTGCTCAGGGGCAGCAGCTTGTTGATAGCGCAAGGCCACCTGTCCTCAGTGCCAGCAGATGGTCACTCAGCAGGACAGCGTCCCTGTCCGAACCCAGTGCCACTCCTGCACAGCAGGCACTTGCTGCAGGGACTCAGCTGTAGCAGCCCTGCATGGCACAGTGTGAGTGGAGCTGCCATTCCTGCCTCGGCTCTTCAGAGGGCAAACAGAATTTGCACCATCGCTGAAGAAACGGGAAAGCACTGTAGTGCTGTGCTGTGCTGCGCCTGCCTCTCCTCGGCGTGGGCATGTAGTGTAAGGATCTCCTATCTCCCCCAGCATCCGCCGAGGCTCTTGCAAGTCTGGTGGATCAGAGAAAAGGTAGTCCTTGCAGGAGCCCTTCAGTGAATGGCTCCAGCTCTCGGTGTTGCTTGGCCCCTCGAGCAGCACAGCTGGCTGCGCTGCCGTGGGACAGTTACACCTGCCAGTGGTGGCAGGAGGGTTCAGCCCTCCATCTGCTCCCGAGAGCCAATGATGATTTGCAGGTGACATGTCCCAGCACATACTGGAATCAATGAGCAAAGCAAGCAGCATCTTTCTAGCTCACATCTCCCAGCTAAGGACAGCGCTCAAGCTGAGTGGTCTAATAGCATTTCTTCCATTTTTTTCTTTTTTCTTCTTCCTTTGCTGCCAGATATGCAAACAATCAAACTTGCATTTTAACTGATCAACAAGATACTGAATGCATCACAAAACAGAGGCGTTTGAAAACATGGCTGTGGCCCATCCGATGCTGGGACATGGACTGCTCTGCCAGGCAGGTCCTGGAACCTCTGTGGTTTCTCCAGAGACTCCCAGACACCCCATTCATTGCAGGAGGGTGAATACCGTTCCAGTGGGGCAGCTCTGCACTAGAAGCTGGGTCCACACCACAACCTGACCATACCGTGTTGGCTAGACAAAGCACAACCTCCCCATTTAGTGTGGTCAAGGGTGCCTGGATATGAGCAGGAGGGATAGATACTGCCTTGAGGTGGGCAGATGGATTCAGTGATGCAGAGGAGGGAGCCAGAATGGGAATCAGATGCAAAATCTGTCCAGGCTGATGTGCGTGCTGAGCTCTTGTCTCTCCTTGTTCACTATCAAGGGAATCCTGAGGGATGTGACAGCCCATCACCACTATAGGTTGAAAGTATAAATCTCCCAGTCTGTCTGCATGCACCGATGAGGCTCTGCAGTGCTATTTCTAGCAGTGTGTAGCAGCAAATGGATCTAATTGTTGTCATTATCCACCACTGGGCTTTCATTGCGTCTCCCTTGAAGGGCGTTATCAGCATGGTGCTGTCATTAGCTCTCCATTTTGCAAGAAGAGTGACTGGCAGCTGGCAAGATGCATCCTGACAGCAAAAAGGGTTCATGACAAGGGAACTGGAGCTGAGCAGGGATGTGTTCTAGGATGCACCAGGGTAGAATTTATTCCTCTCTTCCTTCACAGCAAACAGCATTGCCTCAGAAGCAGGCTCTGAAAGGCAACCTCATGCATAATGTTCACACTGGCAGCAGTTGTACCCGGACCTGTCCTACGGCCAGGCCCGTCCTTGCTGGCATTCAGGCTCCATGCAATTCTGCATTCCCCTTAGCAGCTGAGGATGGAGGGTGAAAGGCAGCAAAGAAAACACATGCTCTGATCTGAATGTGCCTCCAGAGGAACATTCAATGTAATGGCTGAGCAATACCCTAATACCACACTCATTATGCAAGCTTATAAATAGGCTAAGCTCCAGCTTTGGTAGGGATGATGTCTCCTGCTAGACCCTAAAAGGCAGCCTGAGGAATTGCAGAGGAAGACATTTGGGCAGTGCGAGCATATCCGTGCTCCTCCAGAGCTGTGTCCCACACATGTGCAGCCTGTACTCCTCCTGCTCAGGATGTTTCAGCAGTGCTGCAGTTTTCTTGCGCTCCTGAAGTTTATTTTCTTGGTTAATAATGAAGTCAGCAGACTGCTCACTTTGGATCACTTTGCAAGCTCTTTATTCGGATGGTGAGTGGACCAGCCTGTCCGCATTTCTCCATAAAGTCCCTTCATGCAGCATGAAAAAAAGCAACAATGAGTAAGCTTAAAACCTGCTGAGTTTCATGGCATACCCTGCAGGGCCTGAGGAGGTGAGAACTTAAATACCCTGGTCTGCAGGCACAGACTCACAAACCCTTAGCCCCAGGTGAAGACCTTCAAATCCACCTGCACCTTAAAGGCCGTAACTCATGCCACCAGCTTAGCACAAGGACCTGTCCTGATGCTGTGGGACAGCCCGTGTCCAGCCCGTGCAAACGGTGCTTTTAGTCTACCTGAGGAAATCCTGTCTTGCTTGGCTCAGATCTGGCATGCCCAGAGGCCTGATACCTATTTAGACAGAAAGGACCTGAAGAACAGAAAAAGTTTAAGGCAGATTGGAGAAGCCAGTGGGGAATTTGCTCACTCCTGGGCCAAAAAACAAAGAGGAGGTGAGGCCTTATGTTCCCAAGAGCTCACCTTTCTGTGGTTATGGGGCCACACTCAGCGCTAGATTGCCAGGCTCTCAGCAGCCTCCATGAAATTGGCTGTATCCCTTTATTCTCACGCCAAAACCATATTTAGCACCAAGGCCGAGGACAGAAATTTCCTCGGTGGATTAGAAGAGCTTATTCTCACCTCTCCCAGTAGAAGATGCTCCTCTGAGATCAGCTGGAGTAGCTACAGGCGTGTGCCTGCACCCCGTGCAGCTTTTAACGCAGCCCAGTCCACAGCGATGCCTGGCTGGCTCCTGCTTAGCATTCATTTCTGTTCTAGAAGGAGCAAAGGATAAATTGTTAGCTGTTAGCAGCATGCAGCAGTTTCATATATTGTCCGTGCCTTATCATAACAGCACCGAGTTTGCCTGAGAAGACTGTCCTGAATTTGTGTGCGTGGGTTAGACCATGTGCAGGGCATTGACTTCAAAAATAAATGGTTAGTAGCTTTGTAAAGGAAAAGGAAGAGGCTGGCCAAGTGCAAGAATATATTTGCCCTCTTGTGGAGGTCCAGCAGGGCCCCAGACGTGCTAAGAGTGGGTGGAAATGCGGTGGGAGGTGTGGAGGAGTTTGTTTCTGCTGATGGCAGGGCTGTGCACAGCCTCCCTTGCTGCGTGGTCGGGTACAGCTGCCGCTGAGCGTGGACATGCCACGTCACAGCTGCGTGTCCGTTCATTGCAGATATCAACATGGCCGGGGAACCTAAACCCAACAGACCTAAAGGGCTGAAGAGAGCAGCCTCCGCGTTGTACAGGTAGGTCTCCACCTTGCCACCTCCTGCAGCGAGGTCTCTGGGCTGGTGTTTGCCTTCCGGCTGGGGCTTATTTTTACACCCAGCAGGCTGCTGCCCCAAGCTCCGTAGCCTTCTACTCCAGCAGCCCTGGACCACTGCTACACATTCAGATCTTCTCCTCCCATGGGCTTCTTGGCCTTTGCAGTGCCCCTCCATGCTCTGCTGCAAGGGAGAGGGCCAGCAAGAGGTGGCAGCCGCAGACCCAAGGTTGGCCAATGCCGATGACACTGTGGGACTCTGCCTGGCCATGACCCAACCTGTGAACAGTGTTGGACCTGGAGATTGTTGGAGAAAGGTGGGCAGTGCCTGCCTTTAACCACATCACAGGTCTAGAAATAAGTGTACCAAGGGGAGCGATTCTCACCAGCCCCAGCTCCTCCAGCTGGGGACTAGGAGTGGGACATGGTGGCACATGCTGGATGTTGGGGGAGAACAGGGAT